AGCAAAAGAAGCACAGTTATACTCATAGACGGAACCAGCTCAATCTTAGAGGTATTCCTCGAGCCTGAGACGAAAGGGTGGTTTACCATGACATGTTTGTGAAAGATTGTTACTCAGTCCATCATCAGGGCTGAAACACTCGAGCGCGTTGGGGAGCTTATTGACCGCGTCCGAAAGCAGAGCATTAGCCAGTCAGGCTTAAGGGGCCAGTGATACCTGTGCTGTCGAAGGACTTCAACAAAACTGTCTCCTTTTGGTATCAGGGCAGCGGCCCGGGTGAGTTGGGGCGGATAGTCTGGGAACATCTCCATGACTCCAAAGAGTAGTTTTCTTGAGAGGCAACGGTCACACGGGAGCGAGTCAAGCCAGCATATGGCAGAGAGATACTTGGCTCAAACCTAGCCACCATCAAGTTTGTCGAGAGGAGTATTAAGCCGCAGCAACTCTGCCGCTTGATAACCAAGTCCTGTCGCAGCATCAAGAGAACCGACCAGCCCTGGGGCCTTGGCCTCTCTGTCGCCTTTGCGGGCAAATATACTTCCCATGCTCAAGGTCCCCCTGCCATGAGAGACGTGACCCAAGGATCGAAAAGCAGCACCAGACCGCTTCGACGTTGCCCGGGGCTGCACAGCAAGGGTGTTGAGTCCACTTGCAATGGCCTCCGGGGCCCAACGTCTTGGCCTATTTCCTAGGAGATTCGTTAATCCACGCTTGTGAGCCCTGTGGCGACTGTCTTTCCCAAGAAAGGGGACGTGAAAGAGTTCCATCACTCGCGTGTTGACAAGACTCTCCTCAGCATTAACGAAATCGGTTTAAAAGCCAATAGAAGTTCGCGAATCAAGAGCCGCCGAACACGAATTCCCATATATTTCTAGCTTTCGATAGGTATTACACGGTTTATAAACTGCTTGACTGTGCCGTCACTGGCTGCTTCAGGTTGAAGCTGCCCGAGTCCCGTGAATTCGTGGTTGTAGGACCAGCCTGCGAATAAGACTGATGAACGTCCATGGTCCGAATGATTCCGTTGTACGTCATGATCTCCTCCTCAGACCCAGTCGGGGACTCGCTTCGAATCTCTGTATGATGGCGCGAACCGCGTATGTCCTTGAGTCCGATATGATCCGTTGTGCGAGCTCCGGTGCGCGAAGCCTGGCCGTAGTACATTTGTCCGCTCGTGTCATATTTACCCTTGGCTGAGCTCCCAAAGAGCTGGGGAAACCAACTTCGGACTAGATATCGCAGGGCGGGGACGGACGCGGAGATGATTGCGAGGTTGACTTCGATGGTCGAGTACACGATCGTGATGGAGTAGAAGAAGTCGTCGGTCGGTTTCGAGGCGTAGTAGATCTTGCAGATCTCTACAAGGCGAATAAGGGCCACAATTACAACGCTGGAAGCATCAGTTTGAGTATCAGAACTGCTGGAGCGAGAGTGCAACTTACACTAGACCAACCATAAAGACACCGATGAGCGCTACCTTTGTCCCCATAGGCATCTTCAGCCCAAGGAAGATCCAGAAAGGAATACCCAGGACAAGAAAGTCGGTCAAGATTGTCAGGATACTCGCGATTACATGAAACTCCCTTGCGACGCAAACAGCATTTGCTTTGACTGCAAAATCCCAGTTTGCCTCGATCGGTAGACACTGCAGAAGTGCCACAAAGAAGACCGAAAGGGCATGCAGGACGTTGAAGATGTTCAAGCCGTGGATGCTCCATCTCACGGCCTTTTTCTGACCGCCCAGTCTTAGGAGAAAGACCAGGACAGACGCCTTGACAAATGCTAGGATGGGATTGTAGATCATTTGGGCCACGTAAAACCACCATAAACCCGGCGCGGCATCGTAAGGCTGCGGAACCTCGTAGTTATGGAAGCCGACAAACGAGAGCTTGATATCTGGTGATCGTCAGTCGGGGTCGTGCAGTTGCATTTGGCAATGCTTGACATACACATATAAGTCGGGCCCATCATGACCAACGCCAATAGCTGATGGTGATGTTAGAGATCTTGACCCATGTCTGCGAAGATCTTTTCAGGAGCTTACCGTTGCAAATCCACAGAGGTAGTCGTCTGTACCGCCGATCAGTCTCTCGTTTGCTTCTACCCCCTGAGGATTCCCACGATGCCTTCAACGCATCCCAGGGAAGATCTCTTTTACTTACCAATGCCCCACTGACGAGTCTTGAGTCTTCCATACGCTCTCAGGGAAAATACCACAAGGGAGATCGCTGGGAATAAGAATGTGAGAACCACGACCGCGCTCTGGCGAGGCGTCGTAGGGAGTTGAGTAACATCCCCGTGAGGGGGCCTTCGAGCAAAGAGGATCGCCATCAAGAAAGCGACACCTCTGCTTAAACTGGATTTGTTTCGAAGGGATAGAATGGAAATACAAAAAGAAAGGATGAGACGCGGGGGAGGGTGGTGGCCAAAAGTAGGATTCCGTCCCCAGTCTCAACAAACACCATCAAGCACCAACAGGAAGATCAAAGGGGATGGGATGATGCTGCTGCAAGCCACCTTCTTTTGTAACGAACTCTTCTATGTTTTTGCACGCAGTCTTTCGGTAGGGCAACGAACCTTTTCCCTCGGGGCCCCTGGGCCGTGATCCCAGCTACGCATGTGCGTCGAGAGAGTCTGGATCACCTAGTCGGACGAGCCGCCAGAGGCGAAGGGAGACCTGAGAAACCAAGGGTCCTGATTTGCGGTACATCTAGATCAGATTCTGCAATGTCGCCCTCCTCCCCATCTCGCTGCTCGCTTCCCTCTTCCAGCTGCAAGCGGAAGAGGTCCTGATCCTGCCCCTGCAGAGTCTACATCCTTCATGCCCACGCGAGTTGGACGCAGAGGCCATGGCATACAGCTGTGATCCTGCGTTCGGTTACGTTGTTTAGGAAGGGATCGTCTGTATCCATGTTTCACTATATGCCTGATGCCATCTGGGTCCTCCTTTTTGGTTCCCTGCTCCTTGTCGTCCTGCAATGAGAGCCGGGACGACGGAACTACGGTGGCTTTCTTCCGCTCGACTCTTTTCTTGAGTTCTTTCAACTTTCCATGTCCATTATATGTTGAGCAAACGTTTTCAAGTTGGTTTCAAGTGCCTTGCGTGCTCTCAGCACCAAGTCCTCTATAACTTGTAAATCGCGCGTCTATTAGAGTGGTAGCCAGAGTGGCGCCACCATCAGCCATCCTTCCAGAAGACCGCTATCAAGCACTCGGAGAGAGAGCGCCATTTGAGTTATTACCAACAGGAACTGGCACTAACAACCAACAGAGCCCGAGCACCTGGTGCCTGGTCTGCGGCTGACTATCAAGTATGTGTGTGTCAACGGCGGAGCCCCAAGAGAAATACGATCCTTGCTGGATGGACTGGGGTGGCGTTATAAGATCAGGCGGCATCGGAGTTTACTCCGCCCAAGTGCCATCGGGTATCTATGAAGCGAGGCTGGGGTATGCGGAATCGCATATATGCCGCACCAAGAATATCCCCGAGTGCCGCGAGCAGTTTGCCATCCCCCTGTCAAGCGTGATGCCTACTTGTCATACTGGTCCTCTAGGACGCATCCAGCATCTCATCTCGCAGCGGCCCGCCTTGATATCTCCTCTTGGAGGATTCCCTGAGCAACCCATGCCGTTTTTTTTTTCGGTTGCTGAGCAGATTTCCCACCTAGGCGGAGTCTTGATCCAGCCGACATGATGTTGCACTAAAAAGTGACGGGCTCCAGGGTCCCTGATGGAGTTACACTACTACTGCCGGTCAACCTCTTCCGCCAGGTCTTTGACCACAGAGTGGTCTTTGCCATGCTAGTAACTGTTGGTTAAAGACAGCTGCGGAGTCATATCCAGACAAGCCCTTCATCAGGCCAGGCTTTCTCGTGTGCAGTGCTGAATAAGCCCGGGGTTCCCTCCTCGGAACGATTTATCCTTGGTTCGTCCCGTTTCCCGCTTAGAAGAGGAGCATGCTCGGGGTAATTAGATCGTTGAGCGGGAGAACTAGAGCTCGGGATCGACTGGAAGCCTAAACTCTACTCCGACGGCATTCTGGGGTAGGAGTATCATAGCAGCACATTGACTTCCTAGATGCATACACCAACCAGACCACCACTCCACGCAACATTGATCGACACTCTTTTTGCACTCACCCGTTTATAAGACCTATCTTCAGCTGCCCAGTCGACGGAAGACATTCCGCTTATAGCCAAGCAGGTAACTAGACTTGAAACGACACCGTCCCCCTTCTCGAAGGCTATATGCATGAGCATGGGGTCGGTAATTAATCGATTTCACTCCGATCACTTGCGAGCAAGGATCGAAGGCTCTTCCTAGACACATCTTGGCAAGCCAAGACCGACGAACCCTTCTGTTAGGGCTTACCTCGCCGGATCGAGGGGGCATTTCCGCCCTGTCCCCGGTTTTCATGTTGGTTCCCAGGTGCCTGATGATCTGAGGGCAAGGACTGGCTGTGATACCTTGCTGGTCGACGGTGGCTTCCTTCTAATATTCCGCGGACCACATAGCTAAACAGGCACGGATGGGACCCGTCAAGTTAACTCGTCGATCACTGCCCAGTTCAGAAGCATCTCCCCCGACTATCTCGCAGGGCGGACCACTCGGGTACAGACACTGATGGACCAATATTGACTGACAAAGCATGGATCCCGTCAACTTACAATGTCATAAACAGAGAACCAACAGGTCAAGGTCCCGCCAGAGGCAAGCGAGGTAGCAGTCCACCGTTCCTTGATGGTTCGATTCTTCCTGCGGCTTTCCAACCGACCTACTTGGATCGTTGCGACGCGGGAGGGATGACCGGATACTCGGGCCCTCGAGGCGTAGGATACTACCACATAAAACTGCGGCTGTCTGCAGTCGAAAGTCTGTTCTCTTCTTCACTCCATCGCACTCGCTGATCGACAACTCTCTTACCATGGCTGCTTTCACTCGTGCCTTGGCTCTGGCCGCCTCCTTTGGCAGCCTTGTAAGTGCTCAGACACTCAAGGTTGATGGCGAGGTTGTCTGTAAGTCACGACTACCCCCACGCCCCTTTGTTTGCGGCACTACTCTTGTTTGAAGTTTTTTTTGCTGACGGAATATCTGTCACAGCCGCAAATGACATAACAGTTGCTCCCGCTGCCGAGGCAGTTAGTGGTGAACTGCAGTTGACCGACGCAGTGCTCGCCAACCTCACTGAGCTGGAACTGGACCATATCGAGCTGTTCCAGTTTGCTGACGAGAGCGCGGCACTCGACAAGCGGGCCCTCTCGGCTCTGGCCAAGTGCAAATCCATGCCCGGTGACCTCCTGTGGCCTGGAAAGCTCGTGTGGAAGGTCTTTGACCTGCTGACTGGCGGCGCTCTCATCAAGACGGTTCCCTTTGGTGCTGTCTGCTTCCCTGGCGAGCATTACGATGCTAACGAGTGCTCGCGCATCGTGGACAACTGGACCAACTCTGACACTCAGTAAGTTTAACGGCCATTCTTTATTGAGGAGTATCGTGTCTTACAGGAATATCCAGCGATGAGGATCCTACCGCCAACATGTATCCCCTCTACGAAGGCAACGCCTGTCTCCCCCAGGATGCCGGAAAGGAGGGAGCCAAGTGCCAGCTCGGCGGTCTCCCCGTTTATTCTGTCAAGGCCACCAGCGTCTCCCAGATCCAGCTCGCCGTCAACTTTGCCCGCAGTCTCAACCTCCGCCTGGTCATCCGCAACACTGGCCACGACTTCCTCGGCAAGTCAACCGGCGCCGGATCCCTTAACATCTGGACTCATCACCTTAAGAATATTGAGCTGCTCAAGGACTACAAGTCTGCCGGCTCCTACTCTGGCCCTGCCCTCAAGGTCGGCGCCGGTATCCAGGTGTTTGAACTGTACGAGGCGGCCAACAAGTATGGGTACACTGCTGTCGGTGGCGAGTGCAGAGTGAGTACACCGCTCATTTCTTTGCTGAACATGTAGCTAATGAGACATGACAGACCGTCGGTGTTGCTGGTGGCTTCACTGCCATGGGTGGACACTCTCCCATGTCCCCTATCGCCGGTCTGGGATCCGACCAGGTCCTCAGCCTTGATATTGTCACCCCTGACGGTCGCTTCATCACCGCCAACGAGAAGCAGAACCCCGAGATCTTCTGGGCCGTCCGTGGCGGCGGTGGTGGTAAATAGACCTCTTCCACAAACAAAACATCAATGAGTACTAACATCTCTAGCCACCTTTGGCGTCGTCACTTCTCTGACTGTCCGTGTCTGGCCCAAGATGACCTTCTCTGGTGTCACTTGGAGCCTCTCCAGCGAGGAGGCTGGCATCAGCAAAGATCTCTTCTGGGAGGCCATGCGCATCTACTGGGCCAAGTTCCCCGAGTACAACGACAACCACACCTACGGCTACTCGACCCTTTTCTCTGCTGGCTCCGGGAAGTACCTGTGGAGCATGAAGCCCTGGCTCGTCCCCGGCATGGAGTTGCCCGAGTTCAAGGCCATGGTGAGCCCCCTTTTCAAGGAGTGGAAGGAGATTGGCTTCGAGATTGAGCCCGAGTGGTTCACTCACGACAACTTTTACGACACATGGAAGAACCACTTCCCTGCCGAGTCTGTCGGTGCCTCCACCGTCCGAACTGCCTCTCGTCTTATCCCCCGCAAGAATTTTGAGGATGTCGAACTTCTCAACAAGACCATGGACACGGTTCAGTCCATTGTCGAGGATGGTTCCGTGCTCATCCAGTATAACATCAACGGCGCAGCTCCTAAGAACGTCGCCTCGAGCGCCCTCAACCCCGCATGGCGAGACGCGTCCATGTTTGCCATTGTCGGCGCCGGCTGGTCGCCTGATAGCAGCCCGGCCGAAATCCTCGCCACCAACAAGAAGATCACCAACGACTGGATGGAGCGCCTCCGCGAGGTGACTCCCGGATCTGGCGGCTACGGTAATGAGGGCGATGTGATGGAGCCCAACTTTGGTCAGGCTTTCTACGGTAGCGAAAACTACAAGAGGCTGTACGCTCTCAAGAAGAAGCTGGACCCCTGGGGTGTCTTTTACGCTCCCACTGCTGTTGGTAGCGAAGACTGGGAGATTGTCAAGGTCCCTGGTCTTCTGGATGGTCTGCTGTACGGTGATCTCCTCGAGACGCTGAGCAGCTGGTTGACTCTCCAGACTGGCCGTCTCTGCCGCAAGTAGAGCTCTTACTGCATAATTGCATTCTTCAGGTGTAGATATACCATGCCATAGATATTGTACATATTATATACTTGTCGTACATCATGACGGAACCATGTTTTGCTTTTGTCGTGGTTGAATAACACATACGCTTCAGATGGCTCTCTTCTACACACACTTCCAGCAGTGTCTATGACATTAATGCCATGTTCTGCTTAGATGTCTCTATTGTGTCTGCCTAGCGGTACCAAACGTCACTCTCTTCCTGTCAGGCCAACCCGTTCAACCCGCTCCCCGTAACACGTCTCGGCCATCTATTGTGAGACCGCAAGACACAATCTCCATCATCGGACCGATGCACTGTAGGACGGCATGGTAAAGCTTGGGGGCATAAAAGGCGGTCACTACCACATGTCGATGATGGAAGCACTCTTCAAGATTGGTCCATATCCGCCTAGAAGCTTCAGGTTCCTTCCAACAATGATCATGCGTTCAGTTTTGGCTGCATTGGCCTCAGCCATGGCGACAACTCAAGTCCTTGCTGCGTCGAACGATGCGGCTACTCCCGAGGACGTTTTGAGCTCTATGAGGGCCGTCGACAAGCTGTCCGCTGATACGCACTCGCACGCCAGAGAAATTGGTACCTATTTCAATAGAAAGCACTTTATCCTTGGGGCATGTGTCTCAGTTGGAGTTGATGCCAACGCCCAAGCTAATCCCTACCTAGGACACATACCTTAGCTGTCGAGCTACGATCGAGGGGGTTGAGAAGATTAATGATGAGTTTGAAGCTAAACCCAGGACGCCATTCGACGACAGAGGCCAAAAGGAGATTTGCTCAGCGTTTCACTGGGTACGTGAAGGGAGGCACACTCTGCAAGTATGGCCCTTGGACTTATGTTATATCACAGTTTGAGTACCGTCAATTCCTTCTCGTCGTCACCTTGATCAATGAGCCAAGGAGCATAGAGAGTGGAGGGTTCGATGACTACTTTGAGGACTGCTTCACACGACTGATAGACTACGCCCCCAGCTGTCGAGATAAAATAATTGAGAACAATGGTCAGTTGGAGCGGGCATTCGACGATGCTATCAAAAAGATCAAGGCCCGCTGGGGCGCCCGTAGAGCCATGCCAGTCGACATTCCTGTCCCCTTGGACTGAGGTCATCGATGTGCTGTACCTGGTTGTTGCCACCTGATATTGGCGTCGCCGTGTCGGTCGCACTTAGATCCTGGGTACTCTACGCGTCCTCGGACATTACATCGTACGTGGCTTGGGCGCAGGGTTGACACGGATCGCGCCCTCAGGAGACTCGTGCCCTACCTTGACAACAGGAATTCTATGCCTCGTTAATTAAGATACTATATTAAGCAAGAATGGGCAGACCAAGGCGCCCGCCCCTATATTAGATATTTGACGCGAGACATGGAATAAGACTCCTTCCGCGATAAAGAACTGGTTCCTTGTGCTCAACGTGACTGAAGTTGTGATCTCATCCGTTTACCCTACACGGATGGAGGTTTAGCGCCGGGCTCGGCCGCACCCCTTCCGTCTCTCTCTCAGGGACGTGGATGCACGGACCAGTGAGATCTGGGGTACGTGCGTCCATAAGCGAGCTCACAAAAACAAAAACGCAGTCTCGAATCGAGAAAGAGGACATCCTGAACCTGATACAGAGCCTGCAGTCTAGAAGAGAGTACGAGAGCAACGCAATATTTTCCATCACCATTGTATAGAATTTTTACCATGGACTCACTACCTTGGATATTGCATCTCGATCTCACAAAAAGGTAACAGCTTACCGGTAGATTCAATGCGCAAGCCAATGGACCACCAAGGTGGATTATGCCAAGCCCATTTGGGCCACTTGATTTTGTGGGATGTGGGTGAGCAGACACTTACCCACTGCTGCACAGATACAGTGCGGTCATCTAAGTCAGCATGATCAAGAGATTATTAGGTACGGCTCAAGAGCTCTCAAATAAAAGAACAGTAACCGCAATAGTCACACAAGCTTAGTTTTCTAGCATTTCCTACCCCTCTAGAGATAGGGCTTTCCATAGTTATGCGAAGAAAAATGCACCTCCTGCTGGGTCTCGATTGCGTGCTGAAACACCGTATTCTCTCTCGCCTCAGTCGTCCCGGCATTCAAAATGCAAGGGAAATGCCCCCTACGCGTCTATGTCTCAAGCAACCAGCCGCATATTTCACACAGGAGAGGAGGCTTGCTCAAGTTATCCAACAATCATCACGATTATGGCTCCCTTTAACTGCACATGTCTCAACGCGACCCCATCGATAGATTCCAGACGCCTACAGTGATGTATGGAAATTCGCACAGTCCACATACCTCACCCAAGCCACAATGCTCCCCTTCTGCCATCCATGAGTCGCCCCTGCCCGCTCCACGCTCACTCAAACGTGCCTGACCCCCCAAGCAAGTAAAGTGGTGTCAGCAAATCAATCGCCGCAGGGCAAGGAAGGAGCGTTACGAACCTCCCTGCCCAACCTCGCATCCAGTTCCTCCACCATCACCGATCCCTTCAACTACGCCATTTCATTTCTTCTCCTTCAACCACGATTCTCTTTTTCATCGACACCGACATCGATATTTATCTTGACATTCGAGACGAGCGAGCCTCCGAGTCGACTTCGGTTCACCGCCCCTCTTTTACCACCGACTCCGATCCCGACTCCGCAACGGTTTTCCCTCTTGGCCCCAACAGTGTGGTGTGACTTCATCCTGCATCCGTGTTGCAACTGAGCAATCTCGAGATCCCGTCCCGTCGTCTTGTTGCATCGCACCTGGCATGGCCATTGCCGCTTCACGACGGCCACCGCCCTAAACCCGCCAAACGCGACCGTGGGTTCCATGTGAACTCCAACACCGCCGACCCCAATGAAAATGCTGCGACGACCTCCCGGCGAGGGACGTCGGCCCTCCCAGCAACAGAAACTTCTTATCGCCTTTGCCATCATCCTCCTTCCCTGGATCCAGCTTGTCGATGCCCAGCAGCAGCATCGACCAGCCGCCGATCCAGCCCTACAACCGCTGCAGCGCCCTGGTGGCAGCAGCCAACAACTAGCCGACGATGCCGCAGTTCATCATCAGTGGGCTGCCACGCCCATCGACGCCGCCGAGGCCGCGTACGAGACGGCCGAAAACATTAAGCGAGCATCGACTCTGAAGGAGCGCCCTCCTCAGCAGAACCCCTCGAAGCGCAAGAACCGAAAGAATGAATACCAAAACATTATTATCCCTGACGATGCGAGCGCCCTCGCAACTTTGGCTCCGGCTGAGGCCGTAAGAGCACCAAACCCTTCACGACATCTTCGGCCCCGAAGCGTTCCTGCTTCCGGGCTGGCGTCGCCGCAGTCTGCGCGGAGTCTGAAGGACTGGGAAGCGGAGGACTTTGTTCTTCTGGCGACCGTCGATGGAGATTTGTATGCCAGCGACAGACGAACCGGAAAGGAACGCTGGCACCTCGAAGTTGACCAGCCCATGGTCGAGACAACGCATCACCGCGCCGATCAATCCATCCTCGACGAAAGCTTCCACCCCGTCGACCATTATGTCTGGGCCGTTGAGCCAAACCGTGATGGTGGGATTTACATGTGGATTCCCGACTCCAATGCAGGCCTTGTCCGGACAGGTTTCACCATGAAGAAGCTCGTCGAAGAGCTAGCCCCATACGCCGACGAGAACCCTCCCGTGGTCTACACTGGCGACAAGAAAACAACCATGATCACCCTCGATGCAGCCAGTGGAAGGGTACTAAAGTGGTTTGGTTCCACAGGCTCTCATGTCAACGAGGCTGAGAGCTGCCTGCGGCCCAATACTCTGTACGGCGTCGACGACGAAGAGTGCAGCTCCACCGGTACCATCACGCTGGGCAGGACCGAATACACTGTCGGCATCCAGCGACGAGATGGCCATCCCATTGCCACTCTCAAATATTCCGAATGGAGCCCAAACAACTATGATAACGACCTCTACCAGCAGCATCAGTCCTCACTTGACAGCAAGTACATTACCAGCCAGCACGACGGCAAGGTCTACGCCTTCAATTACGCGCGATCCGGAAAGCCCGAGCCTGTGTTCAGCGAGACCTTTGCTGCACCTGTTGCTCGCGTGTTCGATGTTTGTCGGCCTTGGGATGCAAACATCGAGAGCAATCCCGACTTGATTGTTCTTCCCCAGCCGCCCATGCCCGCGCAGGATGAAATCAATGCACGAATTCGGAGCAACAGCATCTTCCTAAACCAGACTCGCTCGGGGAGTTGGTACGCAATGTCTGGCCGATCGTACCCTCTCATTGTCAATGCGCCTATTGCTCAAATTTCTAGCCCTGACTGGCTGGACATTGCCCCTGCCTGGGACACAATCAATCAAACTCGACTATCCAAGGCTTTGGTGGGCACACACTTCCTCAACAGCAACAAAGGCGGCAAGCAACACCTTCGCAGCCTCCCCGCTGGATCACCCGCGGGATACGAAGAGCCTGATACATACGAGGAGACGGACAACGATTCCCGAATTCCCCAAGCAGATGTAATAACAGACGAGCCTACTATTTTCAAGAAGGTCAAGTCTATTCCTCAAAAGGCCGTTGACAGCGTCATCGAGTTTGTCAGCAACCCCATCTTGATCCCCATCTTCTTGTTTACTCTGTTCTACAAGCAAAGTAGCCTTCGCCGGGCCTATCGCCAGATCAGGCTCAAGGGTTTACACAATCTACAGTTCGGAAAGGATGGAATCTCGGATGATGGTGACGACACTCAAGGCAGTGAGAGCGAATCTGAGGGCGTTGTCAACCGCAGGGGAATTGTTGTCAAGGAGAAGGTGCTTGAGCAGCTCAAGAGGCCAGAGAACGAGGGCAAGCAGGTGAAGGAGAAGGCGGATGTCACCCCCACCCCAGACTCGGAGCACCGAAAGGTTCCGGACTTGGACAAGGATCTCCCATCGACACCTATCGCCGACGTGGACTCGACAGACGGGGAGGCGACGCCCAGGCCTCACAAGCACCAGGCTGAGCCCAAAGTTGAGTCTCCCACCAAGGGATCCGCCAAGTTGGATGGCCCCCGAGACGAAGCCCAGGCCTCGGCCGCCAACAAAACTCCGAACGAACAACCCGACGGCAACCATAATCGACCAGCCCCCGAGAAAAAGAAGAAGGCCCATAGGGGACGACGTGGAGGGGTCAAGCACCGCAAGGGTGGTCGTGCCGCCGAGGCATCACAGTCTCGTGACGACGACCCCGGTCCAGGGACTGTGGAGGATGCCGTGAAGAATGCCAAGAAACTGGGTGATCGTCCCAGTCTCGAGCCTGATGTCATGACTGTCGCCAACGACATGCAGTCCGTTACAGGCTCCATCATTCGTCTCGGTAGCATCGAGGTCGACATGGATGAGCAGCTGGGCACGGGTAGTAATGGAACCTTGGTCTTTGCTGGCAAGTATGACGGCCGAGAGGTGGCTGTCAAGCGGATGCTGATCCAGTTCTTCGACATTGCCTCTCAAGAGACCAAACTGCTTAGGGAGAGTGACGACCATCCAAATGGTAGGTTGCATACGTCGTCTTTCCGAGCGACTGCTAACAAAGCTAGTCATCCGATACTACGCTCAACAGTCACGGGACGGATTCCTCTATATCGCACTGGAACGCTGTGCTGCCTCGCTGGCCGACGTCGTGGAGAAGCCCAACTACTTCCGAGACCTTGCCATCGCTGGAGGACGCGACCTTCCCAATATTCTCTATCAGATCACCAATGGTATCAGCCATCTGCACGAACTTCGAATCGTCCACCGAGACCTCAAGCCACAGAACATCCTTGTCAACATGGCGAAGGATGGCAAGCCAAGGATGTTGGTGTCCGACTTTGGACTTTGCAAGAAGCTTGAGGGAGGCCAGTCATCTTTCGGTGCGACTACTGGTCGGGCAGCTGGAACCTCTGGCTGGCGTGCCCCTGAACTCCTGCTCGATGATGATGCCCGAGGCAACGTTATGAACGATCTGAGCACACAGAGCGGTTCTGGCTCGGTCCTAGTGGGAGACGGCATGATGCCCAACAACCGACGGGCCACGCGGGCCATTGACATTTTTTCGCTTGGCCTGGTCTTTTTCTACGTCTTGACAAATGGCTCGCATCCCTTTGACTGTGGCGACCGATACATGCGGGAAGTCAATATCCGCAAGGGCAACTACAATCTCAATCTCCTTGACTCCCTGGGTGACTTTGCCTTTGAGGCTAAGGATCTCATTGAGTCAATGCTTCAAGCCGACCCAAAGATGCGCCCAACCGCCAAGGACATTATGGCTCACCCTTTCTTCTGGTCGCCCAAGAAGAGGCTTGCTTTCTTGTGCGATGTTTCGGATCATTTCGAGAAGGAACCGAGAGATCCACCATCGCCCGCCCTCGTGGAGCTTGAACGTCATGCATCAGGTGTGACCAAGAATGACTTTTTGCGGCTTTTGCCACGAGAGTTTGTCGACTCCCTTGGCAAGCAGCGCAAGTACACGGGCTCACGGCTCTTGGACTTGCTGCGTGCTCTCCGAAACAAGAGGAATCACTATGAAGACATGCCTGACACTCTCAAGCGTAGCGTGGGACCACTCCCTGATGGGTATCTGTCGTTCTGGACGACACGATTCCCCATGCTGCTCCTTGTCTGCTGGAACGTAGTGTACAACGTGCAGTGGGATGACTCGGACCGGTTCCGCGAATACTACGAGCCGGCAGCTCTATAAAGAAGGACTGGGTGTTGACTAGTGGGGCCGTGGGCTTTGGAGCATTGGGTAAAGATGGAAATGACTTACAGGTACCTTGCTGGAGATGGGTTGGCTGGGATTTGGATATCGTATTTGGTTCGGACGTGTTGTTTCAACCTAGTGTAGGCGGCTCCTAGGCAGCGTAGTGAAAAAAGTACTGCTTCTCATATGCTTAATGAACCATGGCACTCTGTCTCTAACCACCAAAGAGTGCCGCACGAGTTGGGCACCGGTTATGTCACGTCTCGATGCCCACATCTTTACGCAAATGACATCAATTACAAATTGTAGATAGATCCATATGCATCCTGGCTGGCACTCTGATATCTTGATCGCTAATTCTCCTCATCACTACATGACCTGGTATCCCCAACACGACTCCAATAGTAGCATCATCACACATGAATTTTCGTCATCATCTCAACCCCATTGCACCAAAACCTGCTTCTTGCCCTTCTTGCCGCCCTTCTTACCCTTGCCTCCAGTCTCTTCGGCTCCAGCAGCAGGCTCCTCGGTGGCGGGCGTGCTCGGTCCACTGCCCCATTGGAAGCCCGTCTCGCGGTGTCCGTAATCACGCCGGACGGCACGCCCGTTGCCGTAGCCAAAGATTGTGGTTGTGGGCTTTGGTGCGGCAGGTAGAGCAGGGAAGGCGTCTTCGCCCGTTGGACGGGGTGCTGGACGGGGACGGTTGAGGGTTGTTGACTGAGAGGACGAAGGAGCGGAAGAGGCTGTCCAGTTGGGGCGGGATGATGAAGAGGAGGAGCTGGCGGCCGAAGGGAGAGATGGAAACGCGGAAGAAGTTGGAGGGTTCGCCGCAGGACGACCGGCCCACGACGAGGGCCCCGCCGAAACAGGCGCAGGGCCTCCCAGTCTTGTGCTGTTCTTGAGTTTGAGCACGCGGTTCGAGTGTTTCTGAGAGGGCGCCGCGTTGGGCAATGCCGGGTTCGTGGTGGCAGCATTGGCCCAACCGCTGGAGCTCGACGTCGCGCCGTGCATACCGCTCAGGCCGGGCAAGCTTGGATAGTCCTCATTGATGGCGCGCCAGTCCTGCCAAGCCTTGCGCAGGGCGTCGGCCTTGGCCTTGTCCTCGTACAGATCCGCGACCTCTCGGACAAGCGTTCCGAGAGCGTTAGACGATGTGTCGGCAAAGAGTGTGAAAAAGGCATCGATGAGCTGCGGCGCCGTGAGGCCGCCCTGGCGGTAGGACGAGATGTGGTTACGGAATGTCGCCATGCGCTGGCTGTCGTTGCCAAGGAGGTTGGCTGCTCGCTCTACCACGGCGCCATGGCGAACGAGTCGGGCACGTTCTTCAGGTGCGAGATTTGCCGTGTCGACGACCGTGGCCGACTCGATCGGGTTGGCGAGATTCGTCTGGCTTCCTCGAGGCGTGGTTGATGAACTGCCGCCACGAGGCTGTGATGAGGCAGCGGCTGGTGTGGGTGAAGGAGCAGACAGCGTTCCCCCAAAGGTTCGGTTCGACACGGACTGGGCCGAATGGATGGCCATCTGACGCTGGAAAGCAATCTCGTCACGTCGTAAAGGCTGGGCAGAGCTCACAGGGACCGTTTCCGCGTTAGGGTCACGGCCCCTATTACCTCTTCGCCCACCGCGTCGTCCCTCTCCATCACGGCCACTTGGGCCTCCTCGCTCTTGTTGATAGGGCGTTCGAAGATCGAATCCAGACATGTTGACTACTCGTGCATCCCTCCCTGCCGTCTTGCCTCCATGCTCGCTCAGCTGATGAGCCTGCATGTCCATTTCCGACTCGAAGACGACAAACTTCTTTTCCAAGCATTCCCGATCTTTGCATAGGAAATGATCCTTCTTGAAGTGTTCCTCGAGCGAGTTGTAGTCGAGATAATAGTGTGGATGTCGTGAGTCCCGTCTGTCGCAGATAAAACATCGTTCGTGCTTCATCCTACAGTGCTCGTACAGCTTATCGTCGTCGTAGAATCGTTCTCCGCAGAAGCCACAGAGAGGATGGCCCTTGAAACCGGTCTGGTCCGCGGCGCCGGGCTTGTCGTCGCCATGACGCATGTGCTTCTCCAGCTCACGGTCCCCAAACAGCTCGTGCTCGTGCGTGAATACCCTCTTGTTACGAGTGCAGAGATCGCACATGCGCTTGCGGTGGGCGGACTTGACATGGCGGTGCAGATCGGGCCAGCCTAAGCCAGCAAAGTCGCAGGACGGGTCAGGGCAGTTGTATCGTAGGAGGAGGACTGTGTCGCCGACGATATCCTCGTTGGTGTACTTGATTCCGATGTTGCTGTCGGTTGTGGTGATGTCCTTTTCCGAATAGTCCTCGAAGCGCTTCTCAGCATCGTCGGTGAAAATGACAAAGGGAGCCGGAGTCTACAAGATTGTCAGTGATTCAGCACTTGGCAGCAGGCCGGGGAGGGAAACATACACGGCAGTGTGCGCAGTCCTTCGTCTTATAAAGGGCTCTCATACGTAGACCGCAGATGTGACATGTCGTGTGGTTGCAGGGCGCAATCGAGTGGTGGGCGACTGGGTTCGCGCAGATAAAACAGACTTCACCTTCGTCATCGTCGTCGGCAGCTTCTGCCGTCTTGCCCGCGCTCATAGCATGGGCTCTGGATGCTGCGGCAGCGACATCTTGGGCTGCTGGGTTCGCGGGCACTGAAGGGACGTTGGCGTTGTTCCCGCCTCGTCCACGTCGCTGGCCTCCTCGCCGACCCTGGTTGCCTTTGCCCCGTCCTTGTCCTCGATTGCGAGAGGCGTTGCCTTGGTTCTGTGGCTCAGAGGCAGCCGCACCAGAGTCTCCGGCTTGTGGAGCCATAACGGTCGGTTCCCAGTGCTTGGTGGTAGGTTGATGTGTCGCCGTGGTTGAAGTGGGAGGATAGATCCGTGGAACTCTGGCTTATGTCGCTCGTCGAGGTGCTGCTACCCAGATAGTGAAGGTGTTTGGTGGGTCGAGGGCTTGAGAAGAGAAGAGAAGAGTCGACTGCGTCGCGGGCTGTGTCTTGATGGTTTGCTTGAGTCGTCGGGAGTGGCAAGCTTGGTGTGGTTAAAGAGAATGGCTGAAGGTGATGTCCTGGGCGATGATGTCGACCAGATTTTATTTGGGGTGGCCTTGGGCCTTCTTCTTCTGTTCGCAATGGCGGGGCACTTCCCCGACTCGGTGGGCGGGCAGGAACCACCAGGCAGGTACGTACCTCCCGCTGTGCCCTGCCCTGCCACTAACTTGTGTGGTGCCGTGGGGGCGTTGTGGCTTGTGCAGCCACCCTTACCCGTATCCGCGGCTGAGTAATCTCACCCTTCCGGGGCTGGAGAGCCGGGGCGATGCAAAACTGAGGTGCTTGATTGGCCTCTTTGGGTGGTACGACATCCAAAGAGTCACCGGCCAGGAAAACGCCGGAGTTGGCGAGATTGGCCTGGCCTTTATCCCTGAGTCATTATGATGCGGGTGGTGAAGAGGACAGACATACAAAGGACCCAAAATGAGGTTTCCAATCCGGTAGTGTGCCTTGTCTTGATGATTCACATGGATATTTCCACCTCAGGCATGACTCTTTGTTCAAGCAAGGCACTCTTTGCATGCTCTGAATATCCCGCTTGATTGTCTTTGTAGTCAGAGGATTACATTCTTCACCAGTCTCGCCACACCTCTATGCATTAACAATTTGACTTTGCTTTATCTGGCGCTCATGAAGCAACCAGTCTGTTTTTTTAAGCCATCAGCGCAAGCTGTGGTGTAGCAATTCCTAGTATAAAAGCATACTCCCTCATCCTGACCAGCTATGAAGTGCCATGTGGACGCCAAAGAGCCCACCAAGAGGAAATGGCCTTCACTCTCCAGCAACTATAGTGCTCCTATCCTTTACTTCCATCTCCCAACAGGCCATGAATATCCTCAGAGCACTTGCTCGACGGCCTCTGCTGAACCCACGGGCAAACCCACCCATAGCCAAAGCATCCAACTCATCCAACTAAAATCACCCAGTATGCTCCCCTGTCCATATGCTGTCATTGCCGCCAAGGGGAATAAACAAAACCTGCAACCCATCAATGCCGGTTACGCCGCTGCGCGCCTAAAACGCTGTCATCTGAAATCCTCATTGACTTGCCTCGTGCTGAGGCCTATACCTGCATCGTCGTCCTGCCGTAGCTCACTCCTCTCCAACCGGGTAAAGGTGGTTTCCAATATCCTTGTTCATCCGGAACATGTCCACCCTAGCTTGCTTGAAGACTGCCTGCATCTTTTCGTCGCATATAATTTGGCGCTTGTCCTTGGGATCTTGAAGATCGTTTGCTTTGATGTGTTCCCAAAGCTTCTTGACAACTTGGGGTCGGGACAGCTATGAAATGTTAGTCCACCCGAACATCTTTACCTAGGGGTCAAACCCGACATGGTACATACCTGGGTTTCACCCACGAGCTCTGACAGAGTAGTGCTCAGGTTAAAGGGCTTCTGGAAACCCCCACCAGCCTTTCTCTTCTTGCCCACCTCGGCGTCCCCTGTGTCCAAGTCGCTGTCGTCATCGGCCTTAACCTTCCGAGCACTCTTCTTGCGAGGTGCAGCCTTCTTCTTGGTGGGCTTTGCCTTATCTCCTCCCCGGGTCTTGCGTCCTCTGGCTAGGCTGTTCTCCTGCGCCTGCAGCTGAGCAGCCAGGCGAGCGTCTGCGTCTTCAGCCGATGATGATCGTTTGACCTTCTTTCGCGAGGGTTCGGGAGTGGCCGACTGTTCGGTCTCGCCAGCATCGGATGCGCCATTGGTGGCGTAGGGTTCGACGGAGGAGGGGGGCACGATGCCGTTGTCGGCTCCAGAAACGGCGTCAAAACGAGCCTCAATAAGGCGCTTGATGGCGTCCTGTCGTGCCGGGTTAGCGATACGAGATGAAATGGAGGCGGCAGCTAGCAAGCGCAATACTGGTAGAAAGGTTGCATACCTTCTGGTCGCTGAGATCCTGCCCGCCGAGGGCAGCCTGTAAGCCCTGTCGAATCTTCTTTCGCGAGATAGTCTCGAGGTCGGCCGACCCAAGGATTTCATCAATGATGAGCGTATAGCGATCGAGCTCTTCGGGAGTCACTGGGCGAGTCGTGTATTTAGCATTTGATGCAGAGGGAGAGGGTCTGTGCCAAGGGTGTAGCCGGGCAACTTACAAGGAACACTCATGATGACTAGCCAACGAGATTCGCGGAAGACGGCAGCTGTAAATTGCTTCGGGTTGCACAAGGAAAGGAGGTTGACCCGGGAGCGGAGGCGGCTCGGATGAACTTGTCACGACGAGAGAGGGGGCTGCCTCGAACGGCGGGGGTATGGCGCAAACAAACAGGAGGATCGATCGACGGGCAACAGCAAGCTGTAGACGGCAAGGGAGAGTCAAACGCGATCGCGGCAGAGGAGGAAGAATGCGCCGTGGTCGCCGATATCAAAGCATATCCCAGGGCAGCTGCGCAGGTTGCTTCTTGGGAGGGCCAGATGCGATCAGAGGATTTCGCTGTCAATGCGGTTCAGAGCTGGTGGATGACGATGGTTGGTCGCCAAGGGTCCGCGGTCGGTCGATTGCACCGGACGAACCGCGGCATGAGAGAAGGGGATAGTGAAGACGGAAAGCGACCGGTTGAGGTGAATGCGCGAGACGAAATTAACGAGAGGGATAGAAGAGTCAGGCTTGGAAAAGGCTGAGGGCGACGTTTTTGTCCGATGTTATGGCTGGGCCAAGTTGACGTCCACCACAGACCCGAAAAGGCAAGCCACCGATCTCCAGTCCGATGAGGCTGATGAGGCTCACCCGAGGTGTGGCTGAGCGGGGGCCAGGGGACGATGCAGCGAGGATGACCAGTGACGTTGGAGGAGAGCTGGGGGTGTTAGCCCGATGGGGAAAAGCGTATTTCGGGAAGAGGGCGCCAATCGCCAATCGACAGACGGGAGCTTCATCCAGATCACGACGGATGATAAAGCTTTGTTCTGTGTTGTGCGGTCTAGTCAGAGACTCAGAGTCGAGTCTTTCATCCTAACCACGTGATTTTATTATTCGTGAACCTTTGTCATTTCCAGCACAATCAGGCTTTTTCATTTCCTTACCAAGCCATGCCAAAGCCAGAGGAGCTCAGTCCGTAGACGAATCAAGTCACACGGGCATGCGCCAAGGAGGGCCCAGACGTACTGTCAGCACTTAAAAGAGGCTCCAGGCCATTTATCCCCAGGCTCTTCTCCAAGCGAAATTCTCTTTGGGGATTGTATTCTCTTTGAACAATGCACTTGCTTCCAGCACGTCAAATACATGGGCAAGAATGTCTTATCTGTCTCAAGAGCGCTGAGTCCCCGGCTCCTCGGCTCATTGCCCCGCGCGGCCGAGACTTGTCCCGTGATATCCGTGCCGCAGAGGAGAGTTGAGCCTTCAACCATCAAGACAGTCTCAGGAACACCATCAGCCATCGATCAACGTTTCAAGAATGGCACCCTTTCCAATGATGAATCCACTCAACGCCCTCAGCCAAGCGTTTCCGCCAAAACCACACTTCACAGAGTCTTCAGTGCCTGATTTGACTGGCCGTGTCGCCCTCGTGACGGGCGCCAACACGGGCGTCGGCCGTGAGGTTGCACAGGTCCTCTACAGTAAGAACGCCACTGTCTGGGTCGCCAGTCGCAGTGAGGAAAAAGGTCGGGCCGCTCTCGAGACTATCAAGCAGCAGCATCCGTCGTCCAGCGGCGTGTTGAAGCTGCTCAAGCTTGACCTTGCCGACTTGACCACTATTGGTGCCTCGGCAAAGCAGTTCCTCGAAGCTGAGAGCAGGCTTGATTTCCTGTTTAATAATGCAGGCGTCATGACGCCCCCTGAGGGCTCAAAGACGAAGCAAGGATATGAGCTTCAGCTGGGGACGAATTGCGTTGGCCACTTTCTCTTTACCAAGCACCTCACACCTCTTCTTCAGGCGACAGCCAAGACAGCGCCGAAAGACTCTGTCCGTGTCATTTGGGTGTCTAGCTCAGCTGCCGATGCATTTTCACCCACAAACGGCTTTGACCCCGATAACCTCGATTACAACAAGCCGCGCACGATCATGCACAAGTATGGTGTGAGCAAGGCTGGCAATTATTACCATAATGCGGAGTTTGCAAGGAGGTATAAAGAAGATGGGATTGTGAGCGTGGTAGGTCTATTAATTGCTCTCATCCAGCCTGTTGCTAATGTACAAAGGCGCTCAACCCCGGTAACTTACACAGCGAGCTTGACCGTACCTCAGCCTGGTGGTTGTACTACCCTCGAGTCATAACTTGCTACCCTCCTATTAATGGAGCTTACACTGAGCTCTTTGCTGCATTTTCCCCTGATATCACAATCGAAAAATCAGGAATCTGGGGTAAGTGGCCCAACTCCCTGTCGAGGGCATGGTTCTAACGGCGTCTAGTTGTCCCTTGGGGCCGATTCATGCCCATCCGTCCAGACTTACAGGCTGGTGCCTTACTGGAGTCCGAGGGCGGAACAGGAATGGCAGAGAAGTTTTGGCTGTGGTCGGAAGAACAGGTAAAGCCATACCTGTAAGCTGCAGGATTATGATCATGACTTGAGTCAAGGCCGAGACAAAGATCAAAGGGAGCGTACCTGTCCCTATTATAAGAACATTGCTTAAGCCTCTATAAAAATCTTATAAGGATATGTTACTCCCTTGTCTTAATTTTAGTGATCCTAAGAAGACTAATCATAGTTGGTCCCCGTGCAAGCAAGGAGATTTTACAGAGTCCAAGCTACCTACCTAGTAAAGATAAACCCAAGACACTGTCTCAGTCTAAAAATACATACAACGCTGTACTTGGCATTCATAACCGAGCAACTGGATGCTTGAGAAAGAAGAAGTATCCTAACAGCCAATTCACGTTGTGCTGTCCTCGATTTATCAACCGTCTTATCGCTTATCTCTTATCGCTATCGTAGCATCTGGCCAACACAGCGCTCATGATAGGGGTCAGCCGTCTCCACCTTTCCCACAACGCTTATCATGACCCAAGAACCATGACGTCGCCTCCGTCAGCAGGAATGCGGTCCAAACATGGGCAAATAAATCAGCCATGACACTCTTCAGCTCCCCATTGTATGTCAAAAGCATCGCAACACGACTTGGAACCTGTCTTGTCACTGCTTCGGGTTGTGGGAAGTCACGGGTTTATTGCCTGCCGCTCCGGACATCGTTCGGCCCCACCCCCCACGCTTTTAGAGTTGTGCGCCCCCTAGTGGGCGACCTTGGAACCCGGGCATGATTTCTTCATCTTCGATCTGTCTCTCTTCCCGTCTTGTCTTGCACATCAGCAGTTTGCGCTTTGGGGTACATATGTCTTGATGTCTTTCATATTGATTTCTTCTGTCTTATATCCATTCTTGGTTATATACTCACCAGACGGACTCATCCATCTGATCCATCATCGCCCAACCTCCTGACTTCAAGTTCTGAGGTGATTGCGACATCCGCGAGTGTACGACTCTTTTCAACTCTTCCTCCGATAGAACCTACCGCTCAAGCTCTGTCGCAACGAACGTCCGAGACCTCCTTCAATCCCGCTCGATTCAGATAGCACCGCGTCGAACATACAACAGCTGTACGCCGTCGGCGACGTCATCGATTGTCTCGAAACAGTCGCTTGGCGGTGTATCCGTGTGCGAGGTTGGCAATGCCATCCCGTTACCGCTCCGGTCGGCGAAGAATTGCTGTCACAGCATTCGTGGTAGTCGCCCTCTTCTTCCTCAACCTTGGAGGATTCATTTCGCTCCCCTTGCATTTCGACGAAGCAAAGCCCGACCGCCCAAACCTTGCCGTCGCACCGTCTTGCGCCTCAACCCTCGATCACCTCCGTCGCCCTTCCTACGGCCTCACAAGAAATATCGTTTATCAGAAGCGATGCATCCGGCCGGTCATCAATGCCAAGCTCGATAGCCAGGTTGTGTCGCAGAACCCCGATCCTCTCATCAAGCGCGGACAAGTTGTCCAACTGGACCAGGCATGCGAGGGCTGGACCGAGTCAAGTTGCGAACCAATCACGCTCAATGTACCGCCGGCATACCCCGTCCAAGATTACTCTGGCTTCTTGTTCGGCGTTGCCACCAACCTCGATCGCTTGAACGAGTCGCTGCCGCAATTCGAGAGCTGGCTTGGAAATACACACGCTCGACTGTTGGCAGTGATTACGGACCCTGGCGACGAACCTAAATATGAAGTCCTGACGAGGCAATTTCACGATCGTGGAGTTGAGTTGATTATTAAGAGCCCATGGAACGACAAAATCACACCTAACGAGCAACACTTTGCCATTGTACGTGATCTGCTCCGTTACGCGACCCCTGAGACGAAATGGACGGCAATCGTGGACGACGACACCTTCTTCCCTTCCCTCTACCCGATCAGTCAGATTCTTGGCAAATATGATCACAAGCTGCCGGCATACGTGGGCGGCTTGTCGGAGAACCACGACGCCGTCAATCACCATGGATACATGGGCTTCGGTGGCGCAGGAATTTTCCTCAGCACAGCACTTCTTCGCGAGCTAGACCCGCATCTTGAGGCATGTCTGACAGCAGAGCATGTGCCCCAGGGCGACGGTCTCCTTAAGCAGTGCATCTACAGCAAGACGAAGATAAAGCTCTCGGTCGTGAAAGGACTCCACCAGCTGGACATGGGCGGGGACATGAGCGGCTTTTACGAATCTGGTCGTCTTCCCATGAGTCTTCATCACTGGAAATCGTGGCACCAAGCCCCCGTCGACAAGATGGTCAAGGTTTCTGAGTTTTGTGGAAGTTGTTTCCTACAGCGGTTTACGTTTGGGTCCGACACGGTCTTCACCAACGGCTACAGCATCGTCGAGTACTCTGCCGGACTCGAGAGCGTCGATCTGAACAAGATGGAGGGCAGTTGGGAAGGAGCCGCAGGGTTTGACTGGAGCATGGCTCCGATGCGATCTAAGATGGACCGTCGCCTTAAGAAGAGCTACCGTCTGATCGATTCGGAAATGGTTGGAAAGAACCTGCGGCAGGTGTATGTCCACCGTGTAGAGGACGATATACCTAGACGCGATGAAAAGGTGGGGGATGCCAAGAAGGCTCAGCTAAAGATAAACGAGATGAAAGACGAGGTGATAGAGCTTTGGTGGGAGCTGTGAAGGATTGGATCCAAGTTGATGATTGTTAAGCACGGATTGTATATATGATAGACGATACCAGCCATGTGGGATAAGCTAGATGGACACTTGCATTGGCTATATAATGTTAATGAATGTTTTCCTTACCTCTCTGCAGATCTGAGAGTTGATTTGGTGGAGTGTACTGACCCAATGGGTACAATACAAGACCCCATGATCACGGCTATGATTGTTTAGACCCGTGTTCGGGATGGAGCCTCTGACGTTCTCCGCGATATTGGAGTGCGGAGTAACTGGCACGAATGGCCACGAGAAGAGGGCGGCGCCTCTGTGATAAAGGTGAGACGGCAAGATCTCAAGATGACTTTTAACCAAGGACTTGACCATGCCTTGCGGCAACTGATTCAGTCGACTGCTCTTTGGTCTGTCTTGTTCCTCTACTTACCACGAGCCTGTCCAACAGTGCTGCAGACCAACCTATCTGCGAAGCTGGGGAAAACACTCCAGAGATTTATGTATTGTTACCCTCGTGTGATAGAATTGGGCCCAGCATGGAGAGATTCTTCGGAAAGATGGAGGTCGGAAAGGGGGTAAAGAGGATGGACGTAGGTCTCTTTAGGCTGATCGAGATTCTTACGTTAATAAGAACGTAGTGGTCGGTTTAGACCCATATGGAGTTTTTTAACGCAAAGGGAAACCGTATGACCGGAGACGACACGTACGAGCATAATAAGGAAGTGGACACTAGAAAGGTGATGTTGGTCTGATTTCCTTACGGCCCTGGACCCGACACTGGGCGGACATTCCTTTGAATCAAGCTACAAACCCTTAACCACTTTCCCAATGCCGGAGCCATCCTCTCCTTGTTCAACACGTGCCTATACACTGCAGCAGATTAGAAAGGAGGGCGCTGGAAAGGTGTCTGGGGACGCCGTTAAGGGCTCCGCCGAAGGGAACGCGCCAGGAATATGGGAGTAAAAGACCGCTGTGCGGCGGATAAAGGGCGTGATGAATTCACTACGATCATGAAGAAATACTGACGCATCTCATAGTGACAAAATTGTCCACAATGCGTTGAGATAGTGATACTGGTGACGGCGATGGGTGAGAGGCTGCCTTCTTCTGAACACTGGGCTGGGAAACGGACAGTTTGACAAACAATAAGGCGTGGACTAAAACACGGGATTCTCGGAACTTTAGTGACATGGAGGCACCTATGAGATGAGGCAGGGAAACTCCCAGTGAAAGGTTGAGTTGAACTGAGAGCAAGCGGACCCTAGCACGCCCTTCACTTAAACAGTCCCGACCACCCTCGGCTTAATGATACCCGTAGAGAAATGTTACCTTGAACCTCCCGCTATGGGACATAGCCGTTGCGGTGTAGTTCTTATGGATTGACACTCTCTCGTCGTCGAGGATCCCCATAGTAAACTCCCTGGTGTGTTGGTCATATCCATCCTTGTCAGTCGGCTTCAGCGCTGGACTCTGGCTGTCTTTGACCGCTCTGCACTCTTCTGGCGCGATGGGGATGAGATTGTTTGGAAACCCCATAATAGGGGCCCCGGCGTCTTCGGACTGGAAGAGGACAGCTCCGTCGTTGCCTGAATGGTGTTAAATCCAGGTCTGAATTCCAGCACAGCGTTGAGAGGTACCTTCGATGACAGAAACTCCTCCATACCCTCGTGGGTAGTTCTCCCAGTTGATCTCTGTCCAAGTGCCTAGATTATGAGCTCGGCTGTCGAAGTTCACAGTGGAGCCGCGGACGATTCTTCAAGAAAAAGAGCGACAGGCCATGGGAACGTCGATAAAGACAGCGGTATTGGACGGGATCTGCTGGAATCATTAGCTCTAGGACCTGTGTTGAGGAGAACAACTTGCATTCATCGCTCGGTACGGTTTGAAGTCGATGCCATTCTGGTAAATCATGAACCAGCGTAGAGAAGCGTCGCCGTAAACGGTCTCGAGGATGATGCCAGGCTGGCCGAAATCCTGATCGCCAAAGAACGGGTCTAGAGAAAGCATTAGCTGGCGATGCGCTTCGCATCCAAAGGGCAATCTCATACCTTGAACAAGAGTATAGTCGTCCTTACCAGGATTTCCACAGAGCGCTGCCGGACGCTCTCCGGGTTGGGATCCAAGAGCAACGCGTGCGATAAATACAAAGATGGCTAAGTAAATCTCCATCTTCTACAAGATCAAGCCCCCTAGCGGTGATATATCGCGTAAGGACAAAGACGTGATAAAGACTGACAGTTTAAGGCAGGGCCAGCTCTCAAGAACTACCTACTCACCCACATTTCATTGTCTCCAGGGAGGACAAAACAGGTGAATGTGCTACCCTCTATCCAGGCCATGCGCTTCTTTGGCAAATTCCGAATTGTTTGTCCAGCTGGACATCACACGGAAGGCAAACAAGCCAAGGTACCCCCGAGCCCGGACTTGAACAGCCCGCAAATGAAGCGTAGACCCTGGTGAACAGAGTCTTACTTCTCAAACATATATACGATATGCCTTCTCGATATCGGGCCTTGACAAAGACAAGGAAGGAGTTTGACCACTCAATTGGAGACTCGGCGGCGGGGCCGGCCCTCCGCAAGGAGTTTTCGGAGCATCTCCGATTTCCCAATCCGGAAAAAAACAAGGGCATGATTGGCCGTGATTATCGGTAGGCAACCCAGTCTTGGCAGTTAAAGGGTGTCGAGGGATCGTAAGGAATACGAACTCAAGATGAGGAATCTGAAGTTGGGACTCATTGAAACCATGCTTCTCTGCTTCTAGACGCTCAGCGTCTACTTTTTTCAGCTGGTTCAAGATTGTCTGTCCCTGTATGATGGCGTTTGCCACGCCCCAAGATGAGGCAGCTGACAAATATGGGGCATGACGCTATCAGACCTTTGAGCTGGCGTCTGGGTGTTGGGCTGGCAGCCTCCATCATCCATCTCCACAGGCGGACGCACAAGTCAATCATCGCCAAAGACTTCCATCTCAAGCCCCTCGTCCTTATATCTTGCGTCATACCTTCTTTCCCCTTCGCTCAATGTTCACCACATTCGACATCACGACGCCAAATTCGCTCTCGAGCGAAAAACCTCCGTCTCCGCCATCCCAACCCCGCACAAAGAGAGCTCAGGTCTCCCGCGCGTGTGACTGGTGTCGCTTGACTCGGGTAAAGTGCGACTCGGTGCGTCCATGTCGTAACTGCAAGCAAGCGAAGCGAGAATGCGTCAATTCCGGTCGTGATGATTTCAAGAGCGTTGCCGCCGCGACTCGGTAAGTTGAGGCCCCATATCACGCTCATATCTTGCTGATAATCGTGCAGGGAGGTCCAGCGGCTAAGGTGCCAGGTCCAAGAACTTGAGACAAGGTTGATGGAGCCGGAGCCGTCAAGTGTCAAGAGTCTTTCCAAACGCAGACGCTTCCCGATATGGAAGGGGACCCGGATGAACGGAATTTACTATGGCCCTTCATCGCTCGTCTACTTCACCCATCGGTTATCAACATTCACCAAGATGAACTTTGAGTCTAACTTTCCATCTGCTCCAAAATCCTCAACCTCCCCATCTCACATAGGAACCTCCAGTCAGCTGCAACGCGAGCAGCAGGACGCCCTGCTTGACCTCTACTGGCAGGGTTATCATGCCATATATCCCGTGTTGGACGAAGCTGATTTCCGGCGTCACTATGACACTCTCTGGCATGGCTCAACGGGAAGAAAGCCCTGCCCCTTGGTGGACATTGTTATTGCGTTGTGCATTCATTTTAGCTCATCCTATACGGCATCGGACGCTGCGGCTCTCCCTGATCAACCAGGATACGACTTCTACCTCCAATCTCAGCAACTCCTCAGTCAGGATCTCGAAGTCCCATGTCTGAGGACAGTTCAGTGTTACTTCCTGAGCGCTATCTACCTCCTTGCCCTCGGCCAAGTCAACTCAGCATCCACGATGACCGGGTCAGCGATTAGAACTGCAGTATCGCTAGGCCTTCAATTCGGGTATGACCATGACGGGATGTCTGAGGACGAGCCAAGATCATGGACGCCCGACTCAAGAATCTGGACGTGCTTGGCCACCCTCGACGCACAGCTATCATTGTACCTGGGCCGTCCATTCGCGATCCAGGACTTCGAGGTACACAGCATGTCGCAGCCAGAGCCTGACCATGTTGCACAGCTTTCCGGGCCAACATTTACCCTTGCGGATGTCAACTGGCTCCGCTTCCAGTACGAAAGGCAACGACTCTTCCAAATAGTTCGCGAGATCCAAACCGAGTTGGTGGCCGTGTCCGAGGACGTCTTGGAAGACATTGACTCTCCAGACTTTTATCATCATCCTTCATCACGTGAGAAGTGCGCCCAATATCTCTCGCAACAGCTCAAGCAACTTAAAACATGGATCCAAGAACTTCCAGAAACACTTAAAACACCACGTGTACAGGGAGTTCCATTCTCTGTTGACCGTTCCGCGTTGAACCTGAGTCAGACAGAGCCTCTTTGGCTACAGAGACAGCGCCTGATCCTCGAGCTCGACTACCACACACTGATCATGATGCTCACCAGGACATTTAACTCGTTTCTGCCGACACCGGCACTTGGCACGTTTTCCAGCGACAACCACTGCATCACCTGCGTTAACTCTGCCATTATGGTGACCAACATGCTGGACCAGGTGCTAAGAGACTCAGAGATCCTTACGGGCTGGTACCAGGTTATCGACTGGCAACGGACGGCAACTTTTGGCCTGGCTGGCTTCGCCTGTGGATATCCCATTTGTCCACTCTCTCCGTCAGCACGCAAGACACTCACTCGGGCTGCGGGAGTGTTCGAGAGAGCTGGCTCCAGGGACATGGTGCAGCTGGCTCAACACCTTAAGACGAAATGCCTGGACATTGTCCAGGCGTTTTGCGCCAGACTGGGGATAGTCACACCCGCAAACACGCCTGCTGACCAACAGACCAGCTCAGAGACTGTTGACGAATCCTCTGTCCCGAGCACCTATAATGTTATGAGTATTGGGGAAGAGGCCTTGGCCAATATTGGGCTGGAAAACCTACCTGACGATCCCTTTTGGGCGGGAGAAACGCCTTCTACCCTGTTATGGGGAGACTTGATGAGAGACTTAGATTCAGGGTTGGCGTCTTCACTTGGACATATCGGTGTCACCGAGTCGACTAGCCAAGCATAGGTCATGATTCAATAAGGGAATAATAGGTTTACTCACAATAAGAGGGCTTGGGCATCGTCTATAATACGAAGCAGATCACTCTAGGAACATGGTCTAAACCAAATCACATTACATCATACACATTGGCAAGCCTTAGACAATCCTAGCTACTTTTTAAGTAGATATCATTTAGATGCTTCTACCTCTATTGATAGCAGCACTACGCCCTTCTCTAGTTCATACGTCTGGGTCCACGGTGGGATCGCCCTGGAGATGGATGATCATGTTGTTGTCCCGGAACCACTGGAACATCTTCGTTATCATGGTGGCATTGACTTTCACGGGAGCTCCATCCTCAGCCGTTTCATCCTCAGTCCGTGGGCGCTTGGGTCTGTTGGGGTCGATGGCCGGGATAGTGTCGATGTCGCCAAACACAAACAAAGCAGTCTTGTGACGAGTAATGGCGACATTGAGTCGCTGAGGGTGGGCTGTAAACCCGGGGCCAGACTGCTTGTCTACTGCAAGGCAGAGCAGAATGATGTCTGCCTCGCGTCCATGGAATGAGTCAATGGTGCTGACTTCAATCCCCTGCAGTACTCGCCCGGCCACATGAGGCCATTCTGGAGATGCTGGACACTTATCGTGTCTTTAGTTGGCTGTCTGTTGCTATCAAGGTCTATCCCAAGATCTCCAAAAAACCATTCGTCATCATCGAGGACGAAAGCATTCTTCACCCGGTTATCAGAAAGGCAATCGGCATTTAGGAAGTTACCGTCGCCCGACCAACTCCCAATCGATTCGCTTCTCTCGCTGAGACTCAGTTAGAGATGCTCCGCAACGCTCCCGTGTGGACTGGCACCTTGGACAACAACGAAGACAACCAGCCCCCCCGCCTCCGCCTTCCCGACGATGACGAGGGCTTTATCGACTTTCCCGAGCCACAGGCGATAGTCCTTGAATTAACTCTGACCCGTGATCGGGCAATGGAGCTCACAGGCAACCTGATTACGCTCATGGACGACGATGATAGTCGAGGACGACCCGAATTCAAGACCAGGGTCCTCGAGTGGCTCAATGAAACGACCTTTAAGGTTCTCCCACGTGAGGCCAAGACTAACGTCTTCTTCTGGTGTCAGTCGTTCGCGCCGGAATGGGCTCGCAAGGTCGAAAGAGCCCTAGAGAATGATCTGCATCAATGTGACTACGAGCAAACCGTGCCAGGTCAACCCGTGGAGATGCGAAGTGCCAACATGGGTATGCATGCCTTGAAGAAGATCTACGATATTGTCAAGGCTCTCCCCGATGACTGCGTGCTGGAGCGCCAATCATTGGTTGCCAATTGCAGAGAAGTCAAGGAAGTTCTCACTTGCTTGAATGAGAAAAGCCAGAGCTACCTCTCAATCATTTCCAACATGTCAACCCAGTGCAATACCCTGTCGGCTCACAGCCAGCAAATCCAGGAGCTCCGCGATAGCATTTCCTCTAATATCAACACGACGATTGAGGAAAAGACTGCTGACAAGGCAGCAGAGCTGGCCGTCAATATCGCGAGTGACGTTACATTTGGCGTAATGGAGCAACTGAATGAAAAACGCACAGAAGATGACCTCAGCTGCCTATCTTGTCTCTTCTTTAGTTACAAGTCGCAAGGGTACTCTGTTCCTGAGCAACTTCTGACCTTGGCTGTCAATTTGCTGGGGGTGGATGGGATGATAGAGCTGGATCAGAGGGTCCGTCGACGGTTGGCTGACGCAGGCATTCCCGATACTGGCGCACAAGATGACGCTGATACCACGGTATAAAATGTCAGCGACAAGACACAAGGGTCATGAAGGAAGGAGGAGACTCGGTTGTACTCCATTCTTTTTCTCTTGCTTAGCTGATGGAATTGTACATGGTTGAGACGGTTATGCTGGTGCAGGTTGCTGATGAAGATGGTGGACATGATGGTCTAGAGGTTGGCGATTGCCAAGGGAAGGTCCGAACCCGCGTCGATCTCTAAACTTGCCCCTTCACTAAGTTGTAGTTTTGTTCGGTTTTATACAGCTCACTTCAAAGCATGACCAGTTGCAAAACACCTCTTCGTAAAATAATAAACCTAGAGCTTTCGTACGTAGAACATGGGTCGCAATTGTGAAAACCTTGAAAATGTGCTATAACTATTAACAAATAAACATATCTCGTCTAAAAAAAAAACAAATCAATACCCATGATGCATGATGGATGGTAATGCTGCAGTCCCCCCAACCTTCCCTACAGATATTTGTGAAATCTTTAACGCCTGAAAGCCCACTGAAAAATGTGCGTAAAGTCCCAGGTCAACTCCGTCGCCGGTACAAAGGTAAGAAAGAAAGAATAATAGAAAGAAAGAACAGGGGAAAGGACGACAAGATTAGAGCACGTAGTCATGAACAACATCCGCGACGTTAATTGCCCAAAGCGACTTGGAGCAGTGCATCCGCCGCGGCATGGTTCCTTCGAGCTTTGAAGGTCGAGAGGAGAGTTGGATGGTCTTGGCTATTTTGCGTTTATCTCCTTCCCACTTGTAGATATTAATGTGATCTTGTAGGAGATTGAGTGTTCCTGGTACCTGGATCTGGACTTGGCGGGGAAGTTCCAGGGGAGTACTCTTGCCCAAAGCCTCATGTTCCATAATGGTTATCTGCTCCGTTGAGAATGTAGATGCTTGGAGCAGGCATGGGGAATTATGCCGGGAACATTCGCGACTGAGACTCTGGCCAGCAAGGGCCTTTCGTCGGGCCTCTTCAAAGCAAGCAGAGCGTTGGATGTTCGTGTCATGAGGTTCGGCAGTCATGTGGAGGGGGTTCATGCATCGGGAAAAGTTGCACAGGTGTGATGTCTCGTACATGCCGGTGAGGATGTGCTGAAACTCCTCGAGGGAAAGCGTCTGAGTCATGCGTAGAGACTTCGTTGCCTTCTTGGAGCCGAGCGTTATGTGACCGACGATGAGCTTCCAATGATCGTACCTCGCCCTCATCGAATTCCGGCTGTCGTTCAAAGAGTTGTTAATTTGAAGCATCTCAGTCAGATTTGCATCTGGGCAAGCGTGGTGAATCCCACTGAAGCAGGTGTCAGGCCCCGGCTTCTCTTTGATCCAGAGCATGTAATCGAACATTTTCGCGTGCTGCAGGTGGGCATCGCGCAGTCTCCAGGCCTCGTCGATGAGTGCGTAGAATGACCGAGGTTCTGTGGAGAAGAGTGCTTCCAAGCCAAAGCTTAGTGATGTTCTGGCTCTTAGTGCTAGATTGTTGTACAATGGACTAGGACGAGAATCTAGTGAGAGAGTGCTATCTTGTCTCGTTTGGATTGTAGACAGATGTACGATGACATCCTTGTCGTACTTCCCAGGCTTTTGGATTCTGATGCGTGTTCCGCTGCTGGACAATTGGCACACGAGCGTTTGTCGGGATCTGGACACTGGCAGCCACTCAAAATCGTCATCAGAGTCGAACTCGCCATTCGAGTCGGATTCGTCGTCAGAGTCGGATTCGTCATCAGAGTCGGATTCGTTCACGTAGTCTGGGTCGCTGGTATATGCTGGGTCACTGGCGTAGTCTTCATCCTCTTCATCGAGAGACATAATGAAAGAATTATCCATAGACAATAGGGAGCGATTGTCTGATTGCGAGTCGGGGATTTCGGTATATGGAAAGGTGGAGGGAAATGCGTCGTCACCTTCAGAGGTGGAATCGGGGATAATGATATCGGACAGTTCAGCGACACTTGTATGTGCAAGGAGATCTGATGTGATGGTGCTTTCATCGATTGGGTCGACTGGAGATCTGACAATTTATTAGTGTCTTAGTATACACAAAGGTTAGTTCTTTGGCTGTACAAACCTGAGCCACTCCTCGACAATTTCATCCTCGGCGTCTTTGAGAGTTTCAAGCGAAGTTCTGTCAAACCACTTTCTCAAAAGGTCTTTGTCGTCGCAGTCGGCAAAGTCATTGGAAATGACCTCGTCCTTGACATGCTCAACTGGCGTTTGGGGGGCTTTGAATGGAGGACCAAACGCGACCGCCGAGGCAAATGCACGGCGGAAAAGAGGCCTGATAATTCCCGTGGCAGTCCACTCAGACTCGGCAAGTTTGATGGCGTCCTCAATGCGACGGAGTTGGGAATCACGTTCGTGTTTTTTCTTGGTGTAAAGGTAAGAAAGACACCTTCTCTTGAGCGAGGCACGGAACTTCTGGACTCAGGAGTTTGTACGAGAGGTTGCTTGCTTTGCGGCAAGCCATTTGTCTGCCAGGACTTGCACTTCTTTGTGGGCCTTCTCAGCAGCATCGTGACATCCAGCTGTACGACTCTGGAATGAACTTGCGACTTTTCCGTGGTGCTGGCTTTCTGATTTGGCGAATGATGCACCATAAACCAGTGCCCCAGCGGCAATGGTGGCGGCTGCGCCGGTGAGTGGACCGCTTCCTCCAGTGCCATTGGTGCACTACACCGTTCTGGCAGCATCAAGGTCAAATTGACCAGGTGACGCGAAAACGGGGGGACCCGGGCTGTGGGGAAACATGCTGAAGTCGATTGATAGACTTGGACGGCGGTTGATTGACTGATGGGACAGGGAGGCGTAAGGCGACACGACTGGCCGCAGTGGTAAACGAGAGGGGATGCTTGGCAGAGCCCTGGCGTTGAAGCGAGTGGGGTTACCTCGAGATGTCCAGTGTGCTGAAAAGCCTGAGAAATGCCCCGAGATCGGCTGTCTCGACAAAGGGACCGGAGAGGCTAGGCAAAGTCAGCTTGCGCGTGCAAAAAGAACGACCGAATTGCATACCTTGTCAATTCTAAGGCTTGGGCGTCATACGAGTAGGCTGTACTTAATGATGATGGTGTGAGGTTCGAGCCTTGGGGAAAAGGCCTGGGTTGTGGGTGTGCGAAGCATTCTGTGTGAGGGGCGAGAGATGGAAGGAAGGAACCCAGCAGCAGTGGCTGACTAAAGAGCCGTGGCTGACATAAGAGCCATTCGACCTGTGATCGGAGTTCAAAACAACAAATGCGGTCGTCACCTGCTAATTAAAGACAGGAAAAATGCTGCTAGATTTAATCTGCCGTTAAAGGCAGAAGGGGGGCCATGGAGTCGAGGGGTTGCCTACCGTTTGAAAGGCAGGTAATGAGAGTGTTGTTTTGAAACGGGCTTGCTGCGAGGGGAGAGATATGGCGGTGTCGAATTGTGATTAGGTAATGCATATAGTCACATGACCTAAAACAGCTGCCGCCATCCATCGCTTGGGCGACAAAGGTGATATTGTCCTACCACGAATAATCAAACATGGCTTAATTTCAGGCCACGGTTCTCGTTCCAAACATCCTACCAGCGTTAATAGAAGATAGCTTTGCTTTAGGCCACTGTCTCTCTCTTCTGACACCAAACGGTGATAATGGCTTAGCTCCAGGCCACTATTTATTCCTTAAGACATCCCTTCCAGCTTTATCAACATCAGGCATCACTACCACGCGACAATACACAATGGGGACTCGTTTGCCTTCGAGGCGATTTGCCCCGCTTGCAGCCCCTCATTCTGCTTGCTGAGGAGGCGAGTTGGAGATTTGAGGTTTATCTCCTCTAAGGTATGATGACCATACTAAACCGGATATTTCAAGAATGAGTAACTCGGTAACCAGGCGCCTGCCCACGATCACAGGCATTCTCAATATCCCCACAGCTCTCTGCACATTGATGTGTTTCTAACTCCCTCCCCAGGCGGGTATTTCAAGCTCGTCTCAAACTTCTCTTTTCTTTCCTGCCTTTCCTTTACACAACACCTCTTCATCCCTTTGCCTCCACGCTGAGGCCGTTCTCCTACGCCTGACACTTCTTCGTCCCTCAGGGCAGCACTTCTTTATCTGGCATAGTATCTCTTCTCCCTCTGGGCGGACCTTCTGCGTCCCTCCGAACAGCTCTTCGTCCTTCATCGCGCGGCAACTCTTCTGCGTCCTTTCCGGCAGACCTTCTGCATTATTCTCTACCTCCCACGCAAGTCCAAGGACAACCCCACGTCATACTTGAACTGTACGTCAGGGTTGTGAGTTTAGCTACCGCTCTATCACGCAAGTAAGGATATACTCCAATGGCTCTAATAACTTCACATCTTGTTAACTTCTACTCCAGGACAGATCACCAGCAACTCCACCAGCAGTCAGGCTTATTTTTACATATGTCTTGACTCTACGTTGCATGTACGTACTGTGCTTTGATTTTGGCTTTGCAGAAATAACAACTAATACTCCTTTTGTGATTAGGCTTCCCATCAGACTGGCGATCTTGATTCAGCCACAGCAAAACGATCATGCCTTCACACGACGAGGAGGTTCGAAAAACGCTGCAGGTACTGCAGGGCCTGGACATAGACTTTTCAGTGCTCAGTGTCCATGTCAACAAAGCCTTTCGCTTCGAGAAGATCGATCTGGAACTCCAAAAGGAGGTCAGTGGCAAGATCGTGGATGACATTTTCAGACATGCGGGTTTAGCAAAAGACGATGCGCCCGAATGCTGGGAGAAGTCCCAGGACAGGCTCGTGAAGGGCAAGCTTCTGAACACTACGTTGAGCACGAGAATTACCGCCTACAGTGGATGGAAGACCATCAAACAGTATTCGAAAACAGCCATGCGACTCTACCAGCAAACCGGAAAGCTTCCCTGCCTTCCAGCCCACGTCATGATCTCCATGATCGCGCTTCTGTTCTACCGAAAGATCAGATTGGACACGGCCAGCATGAAGAAGTCCAGCCCGAACGTGCTTGAACTCTTCGGCGCTCATGACACAACCAAGTGGCTCCGAGTTGCTATTCTCACTTCCGAACAGGTCGGGCATGAAAGCTTTCTTGTGGAGGTGGACCATGAGATGGTTGCTCCTCAGGTCCGCAAGGAGCACAGCGGTAGCGACAACTTCAGCATCGTTACTACAACAGAGCCACCCATCAGTATCGAGGCCTTGTCGATTCTCGCTTTCGACACACTCAAATCCAACTCGTGTCAAGTCCTCAAGAGCCATCACCCAGTGAAGACGAGTCCCACCGAGAGTCAACAGCGTCGACCGACACCGACGACTCGCCCATCGAGCAGGTGGTGACGCGTTCCATCACCAGGGTCCAGGCCCTCGAGCGCGCTGGCGATCTTATCAACCAGGTTCGGAACCCCGACTTCGACCAGTTTGCCTTGAAGGACAAGATGGGACTGTGGCTCAGCGAGCCAGTCATCCGGGTCTTGCCGATGGGTCTGAGGAAGACGGTGTTGCTTTATTGTTCTGATCACCTGCCGGACTGGAGTGTTAAAATCAAGGAGCACTACTTCGAGGACAGAGATGAGCATACCTGGCAGGAGACGATTCAGGTGGCGCCCGCTGAGCAGGTGTACGGCAAAGAGACCCTTGGCTCGTTGCTGGCCAAGCTCAAGACTATTGAAGCCAATATCCATCCAACGGAACTCCGTGAGGCGGTAACTGGACTCCGCCGCAGGATCAGACCACACGGCAAGTACTGGGACAAGTTGCAATAGGATATGGTTTCCGTTCTTAAAGGGTCTGGCACTTCTACGGCCGAGCAGCGCGAGACCCTTGTTGAGGAAATGAGTTAGCAGCGCCAGGCCTTGGATGAGAAGCGTTCGGCCTTTGCCCAGTAGCAAGAGGCCTTTGCTCAGCAGCGTTAGACCTTGGATCGGGACCTTGCAACCTTTGCCCGTAAGAAAGAGACCTTTGCCGAAGAAATGAGCCAGCAGCGCCAGACCTTGGATTGGGACCTTGAGGTCTTTGCCCGGCAGCGCCAGGCCTTGGAAGATACGAGCGATTTGGAGACACTATGGGGGTGGTTCCAATCCGCCGAGGTTAATATTCCAGACGTCCTTCGCATTGTGATGCACGCCAGGTGCAGCTGGGACACGCTTCAGCGACTGTCGGATTTGGACAACGTGCAAAACTGATCCGACGAGATGAACTGCGACGTGGGCCTGACATGCGTCTTGCCCCTTTCTTCGTCCTTCCGTTCTTTTTTCCCCTTTGGTATTTAATATCATCGCCTTCTTTTCTTCTCTATGCATTTAGGTGCATAGCGGTATGGAACGGTATGTCAGCTACGATTAACTTCGATCCTACTGACATTTTCTTTCTTCTTGCAATGAGCAATAACGGCGTTTTATACTCATACTCGGACTACGGCATGCGAAACACGGAATACAGGCAGCGTTATCACGGATGATTTACGACAGAGGGAAGGCATGGGATGGGAGATGGTTTGCGACAGTGGCACTATGGGAAAGGAATGGGCTGGGAGAACTTTCACGGCTTGGGACCTTTAGCAATCATGGAATTATTGCTCGATAGACAACTGGGTTTCTTTCTATAGTGCGCGCTCCCTTTGTGGTTCTACTGTGATTTTGCACCTTAGTGATTCTGTCACTAATTGCTAGAAGTGTAAACCCTAGGACACGCGATGCTTAATTCCATTCCTTGGGCTGGCGAAAAAGAGGACAGCCTACTGGTATTTTCTGGTATTTTCCTATGATGTGCTGCACATGCATTGTTGAAGGTCACGTGAACTGAGTCGCGGCATACTAACTCAGGTGGATAGATGCGGGAAAACCCTCCGACTTGATGTTTTGTCCTCATTCTGGCTTTTCACGCTGTTTCTTTCACTTCTCGCACAGAAGTCACAACCTCGTCGCCTTTGCCCTCCCGGGCCCAGCTGTATTGACTTGAGTCTTTTACCTCTTGGGTATCTTTTCGCGGATACCCTAGCTCTTCCTTGCGCGCCATCCTGGTTTAAACCCGTTGCCAGGAATGTTTTGCCTCTCCAAACACTTATCCAGTGTTTTTACCCTTAAGGTATGGGGCTTATATAAGCGAGTGCTCTTTTTTTTCGCTAATGCTTATGTTACTGTCTAGAACATGTGAACTACGCTGATTGAGGACACGCTGGGAAGCAAGAATGGCTGGATTCTTTTGTCGCGGTAAGTACTTACTATTATAGACCATTTGTATTGCTAATTATCCTCTAGTTCTAAGAGCATTCGGTGTTCCCTGGCAGCCCAGGAGCGCCGTGGTAGAGAGTCTACAAGATCGGCCCCAAGGTGTTGCCCCAAGCACGACAGGAACTTCTGCTGTCGACCAGCCCCAAGATGCTGCCAGAAGTTCCGCAAGAGTTTCCTTAAGAAATGGCCCAGGGTCTCTTATTCAACAGCCGACGACAAACGAGCCTCAAGAAGATAGGGCACCTAAGATAGAGATTATCGAGATCTCAGACGACGATGAACCCGCTCTTCCTACCCCCAGGCCTCGCCGCCGAAGACCTCGCCAATCTCAGCCTTCACGCCCCCCACGCCCATCTCTTCAAGGAACGCCCAGCGCTCTCCCTGCCGGTTATCTCCCCCCCTTTGCAGGAAGGCGAGGGCGCCGGTCGGGCGAGATTAGCAGGAGACTAGCTTACCTCCATACCAGGCTTGGGTTGGAAGACCCCGTGAACGAGACTACACCCAGAGACATTGCTGCAGATAAAGAGTCTGCCACTCTGGAGCCTCTGAGTTTGGATTCTACTATTAACAATGGAATTAACAGAGGCTCGGGTCAACAAGGCAGCTATACCACTGCAAAGTTTGTCGTGGGCTATGACTCGCGGAAGCGGCCTGCCTCCCCGTTATCCATAGAAGCACATGTCGTTAGCGATATTTAAGCTAGTGAGGGGAGAACTGCAGAGCTATAGAGAAAGCACCGACGGGTCGAGAATGCAGCAATTTCCCTGCATAAAGCAGCCTATCCTATATAACCGATTGTAGAAACTCTGCCTAACACTATCCAGCCGATTTAGCCAGCCGGAGAGACCCTTAATAGCTTTTAACAACGCCTTTGATAACTGTATTAGGAAGATCCTTAATATTTTCATAGCCTTATTAGGGTCTGTTGGGAAAATCACAAGGACTGCATAATTTCTATACGCGCAGAAGAGTATGGAAGATGGATTAATGAGAAGTGTGGTCCTGATATTTGTTTTACTGGACTCTTCTATGCTTTCCCTTAAGGAACCTTTACCTATGTGCTGCAACTGGCCTTGAGCCCAGCTAGACATGGTCTGTTATTACCCTTCGAAATTTCTTCGCTGCACTTCCCTCTTCCTTAAGGTGGCGGGAGTAAAAAGATGCGAATTACTCTAGGGTTGATAACCTTGGGAAACCTCTAGTATTATACAACCGGCCACTACCGCTATACTCGTCTCTGCGGCCACGCACGATGCATGCACCCGGGCCATATTATCCTAGAGAGCTGCAATGTTCCTTTAGGCCGTTAGCAATGTTTTTAGGCGGCGTAGGAGGGCGTCAAACAAGCAAGCGCCAACGTGGGTTACCAGTGCAGCATTTATCAACCCCTATATCTCCTCCGCTAGGTAGTATTGCTGATCGAAAGTGTTTTACTTAAGGAGTTTAAGATATTAAATAAAGAACTGCCTTCTTAGCTTCCCCCGTAAGTAAGAGTTAATAAAGGCTTAATAATTCTTACTAGTAATATTAAATTTCTTAAGTAGAGTAGGGATAACCTGGTCTAAAGGAAGGTTTTTAATACTCCTTAGGTTTAGGAAGGTATATATAATAAGATACCCTCATAGCTAAGGCTAGATATAAGACGCTTTAGGCGTAAATACTAGCGGTAAA